GCACACAACACCCACGCGATGAACTGACAATAACCACACAAACTGACCACAAGATAACTACACGATGACCACACAACAACCACACAACGAACACAGGTTGTGTTGAACATGTGTGTGCAGGAGAAGAGTCCGTGCAGCAGCCCCATCCCGTCCTCAGCTGAGCACAGCTTCAGGGGTCAAAGGTCGCCGCTGGTGTCTCGCTTTCCCCTGGTGGGTCCCTCCTCACATGCAGCAGAACCCGTTTTACCCTTTCACTCCCCCACAAATGATCCAGGATCCTCCTGAGATGTTTTATCGCCCCCTCCCATCCTAAAAGTTGTTTTGAAATCCTGAGAGCCAAAGCTTTTATTTTGGCGGGTGTTCCTGCTTTGTTCCAGATCTGTGGATCAGGAGGAGCTGATCAGGTTAAGAACTAGACGTTGTTCTGGTTCAGGTAGTTTTTCTTCATAGAGGCTCAGTGGCTTTATCTTTAGATTTAAAAAGTTTGTTCATAGATTGAATTAAATGTTTTTGCTATTTGGTTCTGAGGCTCCAAATGACTTATTTACAACATTTTAAGTCCACAATAAGAGCATCATTGGTGTAAAATGTCTAAAAGCATTTTCCCTTAGATTTCAAACAGTAAAAAAGCAGGAAAAGCTGAGATTTCTGAGCTCTTTGAACACGATAATAATTTTCCTTTATCGAAAGATATAAAAAAGCAGATTTTTAAATGATTTTCCTTCATCTAAAGACCTAAAAAGTTGATTTTTAAATAATTTCCCTTCATCAAAAGACCTAAAAAGGTGATTTTTAAAAGAATACCCCATTTGAATGGATCCCACACAGTATCCTCTCCTTACTCAAGTCACATGGGACAGCAAACCCTGCTCCCATTGGCCCGTGTGTATAAAATGTCTGACACCATTTTCCTTTAGATTTCAAACAGTAGTGTCTCGCTGCCTCTCTGTGAGTGCAGAGCGACTTCAGCGAGCTGGACGGAGCCGCCACACAGATCCGGCCGGAGATAGAGGACAGCAGCAGCTCCGACTCCCAGACGCCCGACGACGACAAGCTAGCAGGTAGCATCCAGCTAAAGGCCCAAAGTCACACTAATAGCGCTCTCCTGTCCTGCCTCCCAACTCGCCTCCTAACATGCCTCCTAACCTGCCTCCTAACTCACCTCCTAACATGCCTCCTAACTGGCCTCATGTCCTTCCTCCTAACCTGCATCCTTTCCTGCCTCCTAACTTTCCTACTGACATGCCTCCTGCATCCTAACTTGCCTCCTAACTTTCCTCCTAACATGCCTCCTAACTTGCCTCCTAACTTGCCTCCTAACTTTCCTCCTAACATGCCTCCTAACTTTCCTACTAACATGCCTCCTAACATGTCACCTGCCTCCTAACTTGCCTCCTAACTTTCCTACTAACATGCCTCCAAACTTTCCTCCTAACGTGCCTCCTGCCTCCTAACTTGCCTCCTAACTTTCCTACTAATTTGCCTCCTAACTTGCATCCTGTCCTGCCTCCTAACTCTCCTCCTAACACGGCTACTCACTTGCCTCCTGCCTCGTAACCTGCCTCCATCCTCCTAACCTGTGTCCTAACCTGCCCCCTCCCTCCTGCAGGCTTCCCGGCCACCCCCCTCCTGGACGTCCTGGCCCACTCAGACAAAGCAGCGCCTCCTCCTGAGCAGCAGCTCAGAGCCCGGCAGCAGCAGCTGAACCAGCAGAGCCCGGAGAAGAGCCTCACTGGTGCGGAGTCCCACTAAAGCTCCTTATCTCCACAGAAAACAACAAGAAAGCTTCAGGACGCCTGTTCTTTTAGATCAAAACTAATCCACTTCATCATGAAATCACGTGCAGAGCTCACTGAGAAAAGTCAGGGACCCTTAGCAATGACAGGAGGATAAAAGATAAACTGTTAGTTAATTAACACAGTAGAAACTTTACATACAAGTGTAATTAGTTCCAGGACCTTCTTTGTATGTTAAAATATTCGTACGTTGGTTCAAATATTCCAATAAAAATACATTGTAATTCGTATAATTCAGACCAAAAACCTACGATAACTCCTTAATAAATACTGCAGATAATTACACATAGCAAGAAAACAAATAACCTATAGAAGAGAGATGGAAAGACAAATAAAGTATACAGAAATAATCAATAAAAAGGGTTTTTATTGGCAGGTAGAGACTGAGATACAGGACGTACCCCAACTTAACTTCCTGAACTTTAAACTAATTTAGCTTATTTATTTTTATTTAATTTGTATATTTTATATATTTTTTTCTATGACTTTGACATGTGTTAGAAATTTTGGGTGTCGAGTCGAATATTTGATCGGATTCAAGCCCCTGGTGGCCATTAAGGGTAACTGCAGCTCAAAGCATCAATGGCTTCCCTCCAACTCACCATTTCACTGACACATTAAAGTTTTTGTTTAGGCTTTGCTGTAATATTTAAAAAATCTTTGGATTAAAAACAAGAAATCGTATACATTTCCGCCTTCTTCCTGCCTCCAGGTTCAGAGGTGATGATCAACAGCAGAGTCCTGAGGCCCATTTCTCTCAGCACCCTGCTCATCGTCTACATGTTTCTGTGAGATCCTCCAAAATAAAGCCCCACGTTGTGCACATTTCTGTGTTTTTAGCATCTAAATATCACGGAAGCAAGGCCTCCGGTTCACGCCTGTGCTTTGTGTGTCTTTTTGTGTGTGTCCTTGCTTCCTCAGGGTGTGTGTTTTGGTTCTGTCCTCCTGTTTTCTGGCCTTTAAGATCGTGTCTTTGGAGCAGAAGCTGCAGACGCTGGGCTCCGTCAGCGACTTCACACACAACGTGTAAGCTGGCCGACTTCAAGGGGGAAAGGTTGAATCAGAAACGAGTTTTCTGATGTTTTTCCCTTTTGAGTGTCCGATATGATGAGGATTTGTTTCCCATCCTGCATTTCATTCATGTGAATCCTGGCTTTATCAGTGCTTCTGGGACATTTTACCCCCTAATTATGTGCTTTCTGAAAAACTAAATGGACATCTGGGCAAATAGAAGCATGTAAATGTTGAATGTAGGAGTCCCAGAATAGAACCCTGTGGGACTCCACTTCACTTTCTCGCACACAAATACACACAATTATCTCCCAGAGGGGAATCATTTTCATGGATATTTCAAAGTTTAAAAGTAGGATTGTGTGTGCATCAAACTGTGGACAGGACAGCTGGTTTGTTTCACGTTTAACTACACTTACACAGTAAACATTTTAAGGGGAAAAGGTTGAATCAGATTCGATTTTTCTGATGTTTTTTTACCTTCTGGGTACCCGGTGTGATGAGGATTTGTTTCACATCCTGCATTCCATCCATGTGAATCCTGACATTATCAGTGCTTCTGGGACATTTTACCCCCTAATTATCTGCGTTCTGAATGACTAAATGGACAACTGGGCAAACAGAAGCAAGTAAATGTTGAATGTAGGAGTCCCAGAATAGAACCCTGTGGGACTCCACTTCACTCTCTCACACACAGATACACACAATTATTTCTCAAAGGGGGATTATTTGCATGGATAATTCAAAGTTCAAAAGTAGAATTGTGTGTGTGTCAAACTGTTGACGAGAGAGTTGGTTTGTTTCACGTTTAACTACACTTACACTGTAAATATTTGTCACTAAAAAGGACATTTTCACAGTATTTTTTCCTCTTTTTTCCCACCCAGAAACGGGCTTCTGTCTGGGGGCGCTGACCTGAACACAGAGATCTTCTCCGAGGTGCTGACCATCAACCTGCTGAAGCTGGAGCGGGTCGGTCCAGCCGTTTACTCCCATTCACTCCCAACCGTCTGACTCCTGACTGGTTTTCGCTGGATCCTACAAAAATACTGAAAACACATGTGTTGATATGCACATTAAGACTTTTTCCTCTGAATTTCTACAAAACTCTGACCAGTTATGAGACCTTTTGCTGGTCCCAGTGACTTTATTGACTGAATTCCTGACGTTTCCCGCTGCTTTTCCTGCTGCACGGGCTCAGATCTGAGGGCAGAGCCACACTTCTCAGAGAGCTCGTTGGAACCCGAGGGGTGTTTAAATTAATTGAACACGTACAGGCAGAGATCTGCCGGCAGCTCTGAGAGGAGCTGGTGTCGCCCATCGGCCTGAGCGGCGTCTCCTCACAAACAAACAGCTGCAGCTGACAGCAAACCTCATTCACTGATATAAAACAGATAAATAAATCAAATAAAAACAGGCAGAAATGCGTCAGGACCCAAAGTGACATCAGACTGTTTTTGGGTCGTTGCTGCTCAAAGGAAACTGAATCGGACTCTGAGCCGACAGAGGCTGAAAATAAGCCTGTGGGGGCGGAAAAAAGAGAGAAACGGATGCTTGTGATCCGGTTTAAGCAGCCGAAACACTGAAGACATGGCTGATTCCTCTTCTTCTTGTTTCAGGTGCAGAAAAACCTGCAGAGGCTGCTGGAGGAGGCCGACTGATGGCGCTGGAGAGCAGTTTATCAGGACCAAACAGCTGTAAATACACTGTAAATATTTCGTTTGGGATTGCAGATGTTACATATGAGCTGCACTCGCATTATTTTCTGTTCTAAATAGTTAAAAAAATATACAAATTGCTGTAAGTTTGTGGCCCAATTCAAGCCATTTTTGTTTTGTTTTTTGTGTTTCTGCTCATAAAATGGGTCTTTGACAAACCAGAAACTTGACCTACATTTTATTCTTGACCTTAATATACTTTTTTTCATAATATTGTGTTGATGTGACAAAAACAGCCATCCATCCTCCACAGCTCCTGTTTTTACTGAAAATGTCTGATTATACCGACAAAAGCAGTTTTACTAAAGATCATTTGTTAATTTTGTTACAGTTTATAACTCAAAGGAAAACAAACTGAGCACATCCCCAGAAATTGAGAGGATTAGAACCACCGAAGAGAAAATGCAGAAGTCTGACAAAATGAAAACTTTAAGACTTTTTTTCTGGAGTTTTTTTTAATTTTTCATTTCTCAATGAAAGTCTGAATTCTGACTCACAATTCTGACTTTTTCCAGAATATAAAAAAACTTTTTGGGAGGGATATTTATTTTGTAATTCAAGTCAGAATTTTGATAGTTTTTTCTCAGAATTCAGGGTTTTTTTTTAAATTTCAAAGAATTCTGAGGGGGGAAAAAATCTGACTTTATTGTCAAAATTCAGGTGGTAACCCGTCTTCCAGAGGAGCCTGTGGGTCCTTCAGTCTATCATCGTAACCGCTTATTCCCTAATGGGGTTGTGGGGGGCTGGAGCCTATCCCAGTAGCCAATGGGGAGAAGCGGGTAATCCTGGACGGTCCCCAGTCCACCACAGGGACACACAGAGACACACAAGGACCAACAACCACACACACTCACTCAGCTTCTCTGGTGAGCTCCAACTTTGTGGATACTTCATTTCAAACTTTGTACCTGATTGTCTGAGTTGATTACACCACTCTGCTGGGGCTTTGGCTCCGATGCTGGCGTGGCTAAAGGGGGACAATGGGCTGCCCCCCCCCCCACAAAGAGCTTCCTCCTCTGGCTGAGAGCAGGAAGCCCGGCTGCTGCCTTCATGCAGGTGCAGCGTCTCCATGGCGACGGCGGGCGGCTCCACCAAAGCCCAGGCACCCGGGGGTCCTGCAGGCACCCGGGGGTCCTGCAGGCACCCGGGGGTCCTGCAGGCACCCGGGGGGCAGCTCCCTGTGACCCTCCTGTCACGCCGGGCTCAAAAACAGTAAAGAATATCCAGAAAACCAGGCTGAAAAGCTGAAGTGCAGAGTAGTAATCACTCATATGAGGAAAAAACTACGTGGAGATTCAAGGCAAAGAATTCAGGGACAGTATCAGAAGTCGATGGGACGAAACCCACTGACACCAGACAAGGGGGGACCTGGAGAGAACCTGGAAGGAATCTGGAGGGGACTTGGAGAGACCTGGAGGGAAGGGGGGTACCTGGAAGATTCTGAGAAGAACCACATCAGTTATCGAGGGAAGAATTTTTTTGTTTGAGGGGCTCAAATTTTATTAGATCTGGGTTTGTTCCTCCCCCCATTTAGGACTAACCAGGTGTTGTGTTAAACATCTAATTCTGGACAATTTCAGGTTGTTTCTTTAAATAAAAAGAGGGGAAATGGGCTAATAAAGGAGCTGTAACACAGAGAGCAAACGTCTGCTTTGGCCTTAAACCCGTCAAACATTAACGGAGCAGGCGTCCTGCGAGCCTCATCAAAATTCTTTGGGATTTGTGTCAGAGGGTTCAGGAAGGTCTTCCTGGATGTCGTGGCGGTTTTCCAGGAGCGTCTTCGTCAGCGCTGACCCGCCGGTGAGCTCCGGCTGATCGGGGTCGAGGAGAAAGGTTAACCCGGCCCGAAGGTTTCTTGGAAAGCAGACGCAGGATCTCGTGCTCCCTCTGGGCTCCTGGGGGGGGGGCAGAACTACTATTATAGTCCCCATAAAACTGGATTTAGTCCCCAAAAAACAGAATTTAGTCTCCATTAAATTGAAATTAGTCTCCATTAAACTGAATTTAGTCTCCATTACACGGAATTCTTTCTCAATAAAACTGAATTTAGTCTAAATTAAACTGAATTTAGTCTCCATTAAACTGAATTTAGTCTCCATAATACTGACTTTAGTCTAAATTCAACTGAATTTAGTCTCCATTAAACTGAATGTAATCACCATAAAACAATTTTTTTTCTCCATAAAACTGAATTTAGTCTCCGTTACACTGAATTTTTTCTCAATCTAGTCGTCACAAAACAGAATTTAGTTCCCATAAAACTGAATTTAGTCTCCATTACACAGATTTTTTTCTCAATAAAACTGAATTTAGTCGCCATAAAACTGAACTGGCTGTAGTTCAGGGCCTGAGCCACCGGGGGTCAGAGTCATCCTCAGCTCCAGCTCAGCATCACCAGAAACAGCCATAAAACCGCAGCTCACTGTTATCATCATCATCCTCATCATCATCATCATGTTTACCCTGACTAGCACCGCAGTCAGGGTGAACAGTCATGAGTCCAGCAGGTTTAGGCTTTAAAACGTGGCTTTGGGAGATTCTGGTTACGCAGTCAAGTTTAAGCTCTACTCATGCTTCATCAACTGAGTTCTGGACATTTTCTGTGTTTTCTGGGCTCTTATATAAGAGGGAAATAAAAAAAATACCTCAAACAAAATTTTATGTTTTTATGCAACAGAAAGTTTGTAGTTCTTGGTTAAACAAAAGATAAATAAATGAAAATAGATGTCTGAGGAGAGATAATATTCGGATCAACGATGACGTGATGAATTTTCACTTTGAAAAAGACTACACAGAAAACCTGTTCAGGGCTCTCTAAATATTCCTTATTAAACATGTTTAAGTAATGTTTTTATAGAGAAAAACCCCACTTAACACACTTTCTCTGTCATAATTATCCTTCAATCCATCAAAACCATCCAGAAACCACTCAAAACTCAAACATTTACTGTTATTTTCTAGGAGTTTTTACTCAAGAAAAACCTGCTCAGGGCTCTTTAAACTGCAGTGTACAGGCCTCTTTAAACATTCCTCATCAGGGTAAAGTGTCCTATGAGTCCAGCAGCAGCTTCCCGTCACTCTGGATTTATTGTTCAGTGTTGGGCATCAGGAGCCCGGCATCAGGAGAAGGCAGCTCTTGTCCTTTATGCTAATGCGCCGCTGCATGCGCGTCTCGGCCTCCGCGTGTCACCAGGACGACAACAAAGCTCTTTGTTTACTGGCCACGTGAAAGGAGCAAGCCCCCCCGAAACCCCGTTTCATCTGCATACCTGGGAAAGTAGCAATAAAGAGGTCAAAGTGAACTCTGAGCTGTGGTGGGTCACCTTCCAGGTGCCGCTCCCGGATCTGCCCCTGGGTTTTGCTGCGTAAGAGCGCGTTCCGGAGCCGTGCGTAACGCGCCCCGGTCCATCCTCCTGACTGGCCACGAAGCTCAGAGAGAGGAGGAGACACGGCGGGCGACACCGAACCGTTTAAGACGCCGTTAGCGGGGCGCGGAGGGTCAGACGGGGCTCCTTTACGCACGGGATGCGCACATCTGGAGCGCGTCCGGCACATCTTCCGTCCCTCCAGTTTCCGTCCACAGCTTGTTGCAGATTGATGCTTCCCCCCCTCTGACGGTCGGGTTTTGAGCAGCGTTCGGGCCCCCCCCCGGTTTTGGAGCAGCTCCGGTCGCCGTCCCGCGGACATGTCCGGACAGAAGCCGTCCCTGCGGAGCGGCTCCCCTCAGAGCCGCTTCCAGGTGGACGTGGTGACGGAGGCGGCGTCCCAGGCCCCCGCGCCCGGCTCCACCGACGGAACCAGGCCTCCCGAGGAGCCCAGGGGCCGGTTCCGGTCGGTGGGCTTCATGGACTCCACGGCCACGGACATCGGGATGCCGCCCGACGTCTCCCACGAGCCGGACACCGCCAAAAGCGACTCCGTCAGCCTCCACTCCACCGGCACCACGCACACGCACATCTCCGACTCGCACTCCAACACCTACTACATGCGGACCTTCGGCCACAACACCATCGACGCCGTCCCGAACATCGACTTCTACCGGCAGACCGCCGCGCCGTTCGGGGAGAAGCTGACCCGGCCGTCCCTGTCCGAGCTGCACGACGAGCTGGACAAAGTAAAAACTGCATCTTAGATTACTTAATCTGTGGAAAGCTTGTGAGACTTCAGTTTAAATCTTAAAACAATATCCAGGTGTAGAAAAAGAGAGACAAAGCGCGCAAATGAACACACAGAAACTTTTTAAGTCACTTAAATTGACTTTGAAAAGAGAACGAGCCCCTGTTTAAAACGTGTCTGAGGGAACATTATCAGATGACCCTCATTCTGCCCTCACAGTGACCTCTGACCCCACTAGTTGGGCTTTTCCAGGAACACAGCTTGAAGGATCCCACAGAGGCTAAACCCCCATGGCCCCATTTCCAGGCTTAATAATGTAATTATTAATACCGATGGCTCATTTGCCACATTCAATTCCATTATTTTTTAATAAATGTTATTTCTATAGCGCCACATCACAACAACAGTTATCTCCCAGCTTTCAAAACAGAGCAGGTCAGACCGGACTCTGAAGTTATTTACAGAAGAACAACAGTTCCCACCAACAGCAGCACTAGGAGACCCAGGGAGGGAAAAACCTCCTGAGGAATCGGGACTGAGTCTGTCCCACCGGTGCTTATTGAATCTGCTCTGTGAGGTTAAACTGAGGTCAGCCCAGCTTCATGAACAAAACCTGCAAAAGGAAGCTTTTGATAATCTCTCCCTCTCTTCTCTATATATTTAAAGACCAAAGAACATGACTACAAGTTATTTTTAGAGTTTAACTCAGAAAACCTGCTCAGGGGTCTTTAAATATTCGTTAACAAACATGTTTAAGTGGTGTTTTATAGAGAGCAAAAAGCCATTTAACACACTTTCTCTGTGATGTTTATCCTTCAGTCCATCAAAGCCATCCAGAAAACCACTAAAAAAACTCAAACATTTACAGTTTTAATGGCCGAGTCTAATCAGTTTAATGTTTAACTCCATCAAAATCTCCTTAAACTGGTGTAGCCTGTTTTGTTTAACTCATGTCAAACTGAAACCTCGATTTATTTAAAGCCAATTATTTTCAGACCGAATAACAACCATAGAATATTTTGTATAATTTATATCCTATCAGCTTTTTCAATGAGTCGTTTTTAGATGTTTTGCTGACTTCTTGTAAACCAAAAAAAACAACACAAACTTTTGTCTGAGTTTTGAATCACTGATGCTTGACTAAAAACGGGAATACGTCCTACCCCTGAGATGGTTTCTGTTGGCTGTTGTCCACCTCAGGAGCCCTTTGAGGAGGGGCTGGCCAATGGCGAGGAGCCGTCGGCGGCCGAGGAGGCGGCGGCCCTGATGGCCAAGGAGGCCAAAGGCGGATCGGTCAAGTTTGGCTGGGTCAAAGGCGTCCTGGTCAGTGGAGGCTGGTGGTAGATGTTAGGGAGATATGTTGGATATTAATGGCTCCTGTGATGTGTGCTGCAGGTTCGCTGTATGCTGAACATCTGGGGCGTGATGCTCTTCATCCGGATGTCCTGGATTGTCGGACAGGCTGGAATCGGTGGGTACAGGTCAGCCACGACTGCGGTCTGAGGGGGGCCAGCGAGCAGACAAACTGTCAGTGTGAAGAAATCCAATCCATTCTCAAATCAGATAAAATCGCATTTAAAATCCACGTAAATATGAAGTAAAATCCAAACAAATTTAAAATCATATTACATTTAAAGTCAGATCACATTTAAAATCAGGTCACATTTAAAATCAGAGCAAATTTAGAATCAGATCACTTTTAAAATAAGGCCAGATTTAAAGTAAGATCAAATCTAAAATCAGGTTAAATTTAAAATCAGATCAATTTTAAAATCAGGTCAAATTTCTAAGAAGATCAAATTTAAAATCAGATCAAATTAAAAATGAAAAATGAAAAAAAAAAAATCCCATTTGAAATCAAATCAAATTTGAACTTGAATCCAATAAAATTTGAAGTGAAGTAAAAATTCAAATAAAATCGGATTTTACATACACTCAAAATGTAAAATCAAATCTAATTACACACCTTTATATAACAATTGGACAAATTATGATGGTTCTTAATTCATGACAAAGTGTCGGGCTGTTGGTGTAGCCCAGAGTCCAGATGAAATTGTGTATTAACTTCTTGCGTTAATACATTTTTCCACATCATCAATAAAACACAGCAATAAAATCAACAATTATTTATTATTCAATAAATCAATGAATAAAGAGTTTATATTTATTAAGTCTGCACGCTTTAATTTGGGGGGGGGTTGCTGGGGAGATCCAGGCAGAACATTGAGGGCTTAAAGGTGTCTTAATGTTGCACAGCTGACTTTTTCTTGTTTTGTGAAACAGGTCTGACCATCGCCATCATTCTGATGGCCACGGTGGTCACCACCATCACGGGCCTGTCCACTTCGGCCATAGCTACAAACGGCTTCGTACGAGGAGGTGAGACACCCGGCGCACATCTGGAGCTGCATCTGGAGTGTTTTCCCCAGTTCTTTCAAGCTTTTAAGTCAATCATTTTCCCCACATTGGGGCCAGATTAAAGTAGCAAGTCCTTTGGTAGAGGACCTAAAGGGCCCCCAATCACACCCTGAGGGACACCGGGGGTGTTGTCCATGATAAAGAATTGTCTAGCTACATGTCTGAGCAATAAGTGGGCCCAAGTAAACCCCAAGTGGGCCCCAATTGGGCTTTGAGTAAGTCTCTCGGGGGCCCAATTGGGCTTTGAGTAAACCTTAAGTGGAACCCGATTGAACTCAAGGTAAACCTAAAGTGGGCCCCAATTGGGCTCTAATTTGGCCCGAGGGCTGTTCCTATTATACCCCTTTGATAATCTGGCCTAACTTTAATGGAAAAACAAGCAAAAACACCAAAATATCTGAAATACCTGATCTGATTGGAGCCTTTAGTCACACACATTTTCATATTTTTCAAACTGTGGATGATGTAATCTGGATTGGATTTAGAGAAATTAAACTGAAAACCCTTAGATAAATTCATTTATTCCATGCTAAACCAGAGATCTGACATGAAATTTAGTTTCAAGCTAAAATGACTAATTTTCTCTTCTGGGTATCAAATGGAAATGCTTTGTTCAGCTTTGCTTGGATAATTATTTGTCCTGAGCTGCGTAATGACTGTGAGAAATGTCTGTCGGTTGAACTTTTGGAGAACCTGGGGTTGTGACTTCTGTCCCGGCAGGTGGGGCATACTACCTGATCTCCAGAAGCCTGGGCCCAGAGTTTGGGGGCTCCATTGGTCTCATCTTTGCCTTTGCTAATGCTGTGGCTGTGGCCATGTACGTGGTGGGCTTCGCTGAGACCGTGGTGGAAATGCTCAACGTAAGAGACGTTTCAGGGTGATTGAGAAGCCCTTTTGAGTGGGACCGGGCTCTCAGGCTGACGTCCGGTTGGTTCTGGTTGCAGGACGTGGATGCTCTGATGACGGACGAGCTCAACGACATCCGAATCGTCGGGACTCTGACCGTCATCCTGCTGCTGGGAATCTCTGTTGCTGGGATGGAGTGGGAGGCCAAAGTAAGGCAGTCCCTGCTTTGTCAAGACAGACTGAGAGGTTTTGGGGGGTTTGGTCACTTTTCATCAAAGAAGACCATGAAAATCTGAGGCTTTTTATGAGACGAGAGAGAGAATAATGAGGACATTCCAGATGAAAATTTAGAGTAAACGGTTATAAGAATCTTACGTCAGCCAGAGGGAGGGAGGAGATCCTCAGCTTGGTTAAGTTCAGACCAGATCCCAAAGATCAGGAGGCTGTTAGATGGTCTGTTAGGAGGCTGTTAGGAGGTCTGTTAGGAGGTCTGATAGGAGACCTGTTAGGAGGTCTGTTAGGAGGTCTGTTAGGAGGTCTGTTAGGATGCTGTTAGGAGGCCTGTTAGAAGGTCTGTTAGGAGGTCTGTTTACTGTTAATTGTTTTCATCTCTAAATACACTCTTCATCTTTTCTTTTTCTTTGTGACTTGATCCTTTAGGCTCAGATTGTCCTCCTGGTAATTCTGCTGGCTGCCATCGCCAACTACTTCATAGGAAGCTTCATGCCAACAGAAGACAAAGAGCCCAAAGGAGTCTTTGCTTACAACAGTCAGTCTCCGTAGATTTTGTTCTACAAGTGCAGTTTTTCTTCTTTTGTGTGTGTATTTTTTGGATAAATCTGTTGAATTTGATGGGTTTTGTATCTGTTCCTACAGCGGCTATCCTCATAGAAAACTTTGGTCCAGACTTCAGAGAGGAGGAGACCTTCTTCTCGGTGTTTGCCATCTTCTTTCCGGCGGCCACTGGGATCCTGGCTGGAGCCAACATCTCCGGTGACCTCACAGTAGGTTCAGCCAATCACGTGTCAGCCACGTCTTTCAGGATCTCAGATCTCAGATCAGATCTCGTCGGCTCTGAAGAAGTGGTGATGTCAGGGTTTCCCCTTTGATCCCCTTTTGGCCCCAAAGATTTTTAAGCTTTTCCTGCTTCAGACACCTGATTTAGATCGAGTAACGATTATCAAACGACTATCAGGGACACATCTAAAACCTGCCTCAGGGTCGCTTTTCAATCAGAAGGTTCTCAGTTTGAATCCCTGCTCGTTCTTTCTGTGTGGGTTGAATGTTAACTGAGTACACAACCCCCCCCCAAAAAAATGTTTATCTTC